CCCTAAATTATGACACTAAAGATATAGTCCAAGGTCTTTTGTTCAGGGTCTATGACTATAAACTTGTCTACTCATCAAAAAGAATAATGATGAAAGCAGCATGCTGAACCACCTACTCAAAATGTCAGTGTTTCTCTTCCAGCACATTGCTATTTTGGATCAGATAATTTTTTTGTGGAAACTCAATGGGAAAATCTATAGGATGTACTATAGGATGTTTAGTGGCATTTAGCAGCATTCCTCTACCCACTAGATGCCAGTAGCAATCCCCTTCCTCTAGTTATGACAACCAAAAATGTCTCCATACATTGCTCCCCTGGGGAGCAAGAACATCTCCAGCTGAGAACCACTGATATAGACCCTTAATATTGTCTGCCAAACTCTTGAAGAGCCCCTTGACTTCCAGTGATGCAAGATCCCTGATTGGCCCATTGCTCAAACTGAACAGGAAAGGAAGGGCTAACAGAGAAACTACCTGAATGTACCAAATAACAACTGAAGTTATGAAACAACTACCTTAAAGCTTCTGTTTGAAAGAGTGTCTATTTATCTATCTTTTGGGCAGACATAAATCTTCAGATGAAGAGGGCTGAGTTGATTACATCCTTCAATCCATGATATCATTGGTCCTTTCTCTTAGATATGTATGTAATGTATTTATATTTTTTCTGTATCCCCATTCCTCATTTTCATTCCTTCACTCCCCAGTAGAATCTATCTTAACATATTTAACATACAGCCTTTTGCTTATGTCTTTGTACTCATGTAATGGGTACAATTTTGAATATATTCTTCTCAATTAAGTAAATAGAGTTCCATAATCACTCAACCACAACTCTTAAACTTACACAGCTCTGGATAAGAAAAGTTTTTTCTCAAACTCACTTAGCAGCAAGATCTCACTGGAACAACATGAGGTTATTCATAGCTCTTTATCCACTTACTGTATCTATTCCTACATTTTGCTGACGAAATATTGTATTTGATCATGAGATAACGCATCTTTCTTTTCTAAAATCCAAATTTTTTTAAATTCCAAAATAAATCTGACCTGATCTTATTCTGTCTTTATCTTTATATTTTAGCCAAGTATTATTAATTTATTTTTAATATATTTCCAGGTTACTGCAGATATTTCTAGTCCATTACTTCTAATTGCTGTAGACTACCATGAAGTGGATCCTTCACAATTAACCTACTCACTCCCCCAGTGGTGGGCAGCTAGATTGTCTCCAGCTTCCCACCACTATGTTCAATGACTCAATAAACATCCTAAGACATGTTCTTTCGTGGACCTGTATGAGAACCTCCTCGGCTTATACATCCAAGGTAGAATAGCTGGGTCATAGGTATGAGTATACTTAATGTGACCACGTAATACAAGAATGCCCTCCAAAATAGCCATGTTGGTCTATTTCCACTGTGTGATATATCTGGAATCCCACATTTCCCCAACATTTACCAGTATACAATGTTATAATTTTGCCAGTCTAAGAGGGATAAAGTGATATCTTCTTCTTGTTTCCATTTAAGTTTTCCAATATATCTAAGTATTTCAGTATACTCATTAACCTTTGGGGTTTCCTCTCTATAAATTGCCTATTTACAAGCTTTGCCAATTTTTATTAGGATTTCTGTATTTTTCTTGCTAACTTGTAGGAGTTCCTTGAATAATCTCTTATTGGTTTTAGACATTGAAAAATATCTTCTCCCAATCTTCCAGCTGTTGGTTAATTTGGTCCATGGATAACAGGAACTTGTACTACAGAAATCCTTAATTTTTATATAATCTAAATTATCAGCATTTTACCTCACAGTTTGAGGCTTTCAACATTTTTAAGAAGTCCTACTCACATATGAGTGACAAACATAGTCCTGTATATTTTCTTCTACTACTGTAACAGTTTTATTTAACTCATTTCCAAATGGATTCACTTACATACATTGTTTTAGGTTGAAGTCTAGTTTTATTTTTTACCATACGGTAAGCATTTTCTACCAAACATTCCATGTTTTCCTCCTTGATCTAGGTGTCACCTGTATTTTATACTAAATACTCAAGTATATAAGACTCCATCTATTAATAATTTCTCTATTTTCTTTCAGTGATCTGTATGTCTATTCTTTTGCCAATACCACTGTTTTTATTTGTATTGCTTTAAAGTATGCCTTTTGGAACTATGTCTATATGTGGTAGGGCTAGTCCCTCTCTTCATTATTTCTTGAATAGTTTAACTTCAACATTCATGGACTTTTATTCTTATATATGTATTTTAGAGTAGATTTATCATTAAGTTTCTCATTTATTCATAGTTTATATTGGAATCGCATTTCATATGTTAATTAATTAGAAGAGACTTAAGCTTTTTATATATTGAAATCTTCTACCCAAGGGTATAGAATTGTTCACAGGTGTGATGTGTGCTAATATAAGAAAACAAAGTCAAGTAAAAAAATTTAAAAAAAACAAGGGTATAGAATTGTTTAAGCAAATCACCCTATGTTCTTGAATAGACTTTTAAATTTTTCTCCAAAGACTATTCTGTAGTTACCCTAATTTGTGTAATAATCACAAGAACCCTATATTTTAGGTACTTTTTTTACCATCATTTTCCAGATGAGGAAACTGGGCCCAGAGAAATAAATAACTTGTCCAAGAACAGACAGCAAGTAAATAGCAGAATGTGGATTCAAATAGCTTAGAGTCCATACTCTACACTTCTGTGCTACATCTCTATCTACAGGCAGTGACATTAGTTTGGCTTCTTCTATGAATGCTATCTTCTTTTCATTTATTATGTTTCTGATAGGTTATTGCAGATATAGAGAAATTTGGCTGATTCTTTAAAGTTGACATGTATTCTAGTGAAGTTGCTGAATTCTCTTATTAGTTCTAGTAGTTAGTCTACTCATTGTGTGTGTGTGTGTGTGTGTGTGTGTGTATTTGGTATATCAACTGTAAATAATGAGAGTTTTACCTTTTGCTTTCCAATGTGTAAATCTCTCATTTCTTTTTCCTTTCTTGTAGCATTGGCCAAGACCTCCAGTACATGGTTATACACTATGTAGTAGTGATCATGGGCAAAACTCTCTTGTAAAAAAGTAATGTTATCCCAGAAGAAGGTTTTCATTTCATCTTGGCTATAGTGTATCAGCACATCTGTTTAACAGAACTAAAGGTTAGAAAGTGTCTGGTGGCCAAGAATCCATTCTAAACAGAGGCACTATGCTCATCTAAGTAGCAGAAACTACTTTTCCATAGAAGATGACCCTTCCAGGGAAGAAATAGCTCCCTTGTGATAAACTTGACTTCATTCTGACTTTATGTACATTTAACTCCACCCTAAATCCCTGTGGCCATAACACAGACCTGAACCTGTCATTTGCTTCACACAAACTCTTAAACTTGATTGTTTCTGACAATGGGTTGCTTTGTATCCCCATGGGGGAATTCACAGACAGCAGAATTGGACAGGCATTAGAGATCAGCCACCTCTCTCATTTTACACACACCTAAAATTCCCTGTGGTGGTGCCTCATCCCCTTCAAGCACAAGATACACCTGGGAAGGCTGCTGCCAACAATTGAAGAGGGCCTGAGTCAGACCAGGGGCTGCCATGGTTTTCTCCTCATCAGCCTGATACCCATCTTTAGCAGAGATCAGCCCTGCTGAGCATTCATGGTAGCACCCCAAGGCCTACAATGACCTCTTCTGTGCAGGCTTCCATGGGGCCCAGAGGAGAGAAAGAGGAAGTACCCACTCTTATCTCTTGGATCCCCAAAGGCTTCTCCCTATCTGAGATTGGTGCATCTGCACAAACGTGAGCCCTGGCAGCTCACCTGTTGTTAGGTCCTGGGGCTTGGGTGCAGTCAGGCCCATTGGAAGCTCCCAGTGGGAGACAAAACACACCCTCCCCTTCCCCACACCCAGAGTGAGTAATGCCTGTGGGACAAATAAGTGAACTGAAAAGTCCCACAGAAACCTCAAGCCCAGCACATCCAAATGGGCCTTCTCACTGTCTCCTCCAAACTCACTGCACTCTTACTGTTACCCATGCTGCAGGAACTGGAACAATCTCCATGGCGCCATTCTCAGGGCTTGCCTCTCCCTCCCACCTGAGGATTTACCAAGCCTTGGCCCATCGCCCCCCTGAGAATCCCTGATGCCCACCCTGTGTTCTTCCTGAATGGGGGCTTGGCAATGCCCTGTCAACTGCTCCCTCTGCTCCACTCCTGACCCTGGAATCTGTCCTCCACCTGGCTACTAAAGGGATCTGCAAATCCCACCGTATTTTGTTGCCTAAAACCCTAGAAGACCCCCCACCACTCTTGGGCAGACCCTACACTCCTTAGCCTGGCCTCCACCGCCCTCATGCCCTGGCCCCACCCAGCTCTCCAAACTCACACTCTACTCGGACCCCAGACCCTCACTTCCCACCACTCTCCCTGACAGTGCTCCTGATCCCTGTGTCCCCTGACTGGAACCCGCGTGCCATCCCACTGGACCGGTCTACTGCCTACCTGTCCTTGAACACTCACGGCGTCAGGGTCCCCTGCTCCTGGGAGCCTTTGCTGCCTCCTGAACCCCCCTGCTCCGGCAGAGCACGTACTGTTTCTCCGCGCCTTTCCTCCCAGGACCCTGTGCTTCCATCCCACTGCTCTCTCCCGGACATGTCAGAAACTGGATTCTCGAAGAGAGTGATGATTGCATAGCCAGGCAATTTTCATCCGTTTCCATATTTCAGAGAAGACCCAAGCACAAAACACAGTGAGTCAGATTTGGTGTGGGGTACCCCAAAGGGCCACCTGGAGCAATGTCTAGCTGGCACACCGTGGACCATCTGAAGGAAGGAATGATGAGTGAATGACTGGCCCACCCCCAGCCAGAACCAGGCAGAGATCAAGTTCGCATCACATCCCAGATACAGGCGCAAGGGGCGGCACCACTCCCGCGATCTCTCAGCAGGGGGAGCTGCACTGCCGCGGGGCGCAGCTGGGCGGCGGGGCCTGGGGGCGTCCGGCTGAGGCCTGGGGCACAGGGTGGTGGGCGGGTCCGCGCAGCAACTCTGCGAGAATTTTGCTTTCGCTTTGGCCCTGGCTGGGGGCGGCGGGGCCGTCCCAGAGCGACTGCGGTCAGGCACCCCGGGAGTTTATTGGAAAGCGCCGCGAGTTCCGCGGGCCGGCCGGACTCCACGTGTCACGGAGAAACTGATGTAGAGAGAGAAAAAAATAAGGGACCAGAGTCCTGGTCTCTTGGGAAAGTCCTGCCGCGCCTCGGGCAATTATAAAAATGTGGCTGGCCGGGTCAGCCTCCCAGACACCGCCCTCACCTGCTGTGGCCACAGGTCCGCATCCAGCCGCCCGCTCCGTGTCCGCGCAGTGCCGGCTCAGCATGTGTCCCCCGCGCAGTGAGTACCGGCCCGCGCTCCCGGCGCAGGGCGGCTGCCTGGGAAGAGGGGCGGAAACTCGGGCCTGCCTAGGGAGAGACTGCAACACAGGCAGCCATCGCCTGCAAAGGAGACTAGAGGGGAATGAGGATTGGGCGCCTACAGTGCACTAAAAAGGGCATTGTCTCTTTTCTTCTTGAAACAACCCGGTGAGCTATCATTATGCCCGCCTCACCGATGAGAAACTGAGGCCCTGGGGGTAGGTTTCTTGCCTAGGGTCCCTCAGCTACAGCTAAAAGAAGGCAGATCCCAGCCAGCCCTAAGGCAGGCTTTGTCACCCACCTTTTCTAAAACGCTGGGTCCTGAGGCTGCGCTGGTATCTTCATCACATGGCCTCAGTTTCTCTGTTCAAAAAACCTGAGGCTTTCTCTGGGTAAGCACTGAGTCCAAGACCCTGTCCGGGCTCGTCCAGGTACACTCACAGCAGGCTGGCCTCCGGCCCTATAATGGAGAGCTGCTTTCTAATAATATTCACCTGTCAGGTGTTGACGCAGGGTGGTGTTGGAACTGGGTGGAGTGGGGCGGTCCAAGCATCCATGGCGCAGATGGCCAGGGGCATGGAAGGCACAGGCAGCCAAGCCAGACCACAGCTCAGCCCGCCCTCGCTTCCCATCCAGGCCTCCTGCTCGTGGCCTCCCTAGTCCTCCTGGACCACCTCAGCTTGGCCAGGAGCCTCCCCAGGACCACGCCAGGCCCAGAAATGTTCCAGTTCCTTCAGCATTCCCAAAACCTGCTGGGAGCTGTCAGCACCATGCTGCAGAAGGTGAGCTTTGCGCTTCTTTCTCCCACCGCGCTGCCCCCTGCAGAAGGGGCCTCTGAGCCCATCCTCTGCTACCTGAGGGGACTGCAGGGAGACCGTGGAAGTTCATCAGTAGCTGTCAGGAGCCGGAGAAGGAGCTTTACAAACGGCCCAGCTATTAGCTAAAGAGTCCCAGTGAAATTGTGTCTCCAGGGAAAGTAAGACTGGCCATAAATTATAATGGCATTTGTTTGGGCTGTGTCTACATGGAGTAAAGTGGGTATTTACAGTGTTCCTGTGGCCTGCCAACAGAGATGGAATGGTGTCAGGTCCACGCTGTTTCTTTGAAAACTTATCAATCCAGGAAACAGGTACTAGGTGCATACTGTGTGCTGGGGCTACACAGATGAGTTAGACTTGTCCCCGTGGCTGCTGGTCGCCTTCCACTGTGCTGACACAGTTCCTTGTCCCGGCAACACGTCTCAGGGAGGATTTGACAGTGTACATCCAGCCTTCATTGTCTAGGGAAGAATTATCTAATTTGGTCTACAGCTTCATCTGTCTTTTTAGGTGTCACATTTCAATGCAAAAAATTGTTTTGCCCTTTAAAAACTGCTCGAATAGTTATTGCTGCAAAGGGTAAAGACTGATGGTTTAAAGATGTCCTCTTGCCTTCGTGCTCTCTAGGAAATCTTTCTTGAGTGTTTTCTAGCTTGTTGCATTATGAATATCTTAGAATAAGCTCAATGCCAAGGCCTTCCTAAAGAACTCTTTTTACCTTGTTATCTTTTATAATGTGCTGTACGTTACTCCTCACAATTTAGTCAATATTAATTAGACAGAGGCCTCACTAAATAAAAACTGCAGAGGTAAGTGCTTTGTTTCCTGAAGAAAAGTTCAATGTGGGTAAAAGACAGGAGCTTCAATTTTCATAGATGCTTTATGTGAAAAAACTGACTTTTCTACTCCCAGATACAGTCCTATGGTCAAAAGATTACAAAATTCATTTTGGTATTTTTATATCATTCCTTTGTTAAATTTGCCAGAACAAACCAACAGGCTCCTAAAGAACACAGAGGTGACAGATGCATGTGATTCATAGGCTATATTTGGCCCACAGATTTGTAGAATTTGGCCCATAGTTTTATTTTTATTTTTGATTTTGATGTCATTGAAAAATTGGACTTTTCATATAATATTCCAAATTTCCAGCTTCTCTTAAAAAGATCTGAAAAACATCAACACTGGACCTATACCTTCAAATCTAACTTTTTACAACCTGTTCAGAATAGTGGTTGCCCAGGTCTGCTTTAACACCTTCCAGAACAGAGTATTAGTTTCCTATTGCTGCTGTCACAAATTACCAGAAATTTAGTGAGTTTAAAAAACACTAACGTACTGTCTTACAGCTCTTATGTCGGAAGAGCTCTTACAGCTCTTACTGTCTTACAGCTCTGGACATCAGAAATCCAAAATGGGTTCTACTGGGCTCAAATTGATGTGTCAGCAGAGCTGTGTCCCTTTCTAGAGGTTTTGGGGAGAAGCCGTTGCCTTGCCTTTTCAAGGTAGAGGCTGCCCCATTCCTTGGCTCATAGTCCCCTTCCGTTGTCAACGCCAGAAATGACTGGTTGAGTCTTTCTTATGCTGCATCACTCTGAACTAACTCTTCTGCCTCCCTCTTCCACGTATGAGGATACTACAATTACATTGGGCCCACCCAGATAATCATCTATCTACTTTAAGGATCATCTATCTACTTTATCTATATACTATCTACTATCTACTTTATCTATCTACTATCCATCTACTATTTATCTACCTATCTACTATCTATCTACATCTATCTAGCTACCTATCTATCTACTATCTACTATTTATCTATCTATCTATCTACTATCTATTATCTACTTATCTATCTACTTTAAGGATCATCTATCTACTTTAAGGTCAGATCATTAGCCAGCCAAATATCATCTGCACCTTAATTCCTCTTTGCCATGTCAAATACCACATCCCCAGGTTCTAGGGTTTGAGAGGTGAATCTTTGGTGGCAGGGCATTAGTCTACCTACTGATAGGGAGATTACTACTTGTGCTCAAATGTGTTCTGCATTATCAGGCCTTGATTCATGTCTTACACAGTTATTCCTGCCTGAAATTCCCCTCTCTACCCCTCAACATTCTAATCCTCTTAAGGCAGCTGTCCAATCGGCAGGAAAGCTTTGCTTCCCTTTCTGCCCCTCCTCAGAAGCTTCATACATTCCCTTCTCGGCATTTCTTGCCTACTGATGCATCTCCTAGTCACCTGGGCATTTGCCTGCCTTGGCAGCTAGACTTGGAATCCAGAGGGCATCACACAGTCCTCTCTTTTGTCGTGTTCCTTAGTACCTAAGGTAGTGCCTGGCACACATCAGGCTGTTGAATGGAAAAATGGTTCCAATTGTCAACCAGAAAGTCCTTGACTTCTTAAGATACATTTCAGAATTTTATCTAACAGTGCTTTCCAGCAAGCTTGTAAGATGACATCTGTGTGTGTGTGTGTGTGTGTGTGTGTGTGTGTGTGTGTGTGTGTACTGCAAATGAAATCTCAACTTGCCTTTAGGGTTTGCATGTTTGTTATATCCATCAAGCTGTGACCTTAACAGTTCCCTCATAGAAATTGTACTTGAAACAGGTATTCATAAAACACAGGCACTTTGGCAAAAGAAGAAATTGTTTTCACCAGAAGCAAGTGTCATGGTGTGCTGTAGAGGCTGATTAGCACAGCCTGTTGAAATGATTTATTGTGTTTACATAATGGAAAAAGATGTCGCCCAGAAAAACATGTCCTAAGCAAAGGGAGAGGAGGGGGAGAGAGAGACAGAGAGAGACAGAGAGAGAATGTAAATGACCTGTTTCTTTTTATCTCAAGAAGAACCAGAATTTCCACAGGTCAAAGAGATGGAGGTCAAAGCAGCCAGCCGAGGCCTTGCTGGCACCCTGGGGTACCAGCCTCATGGGGAGTGGGTGCCTTATTCATGTTGTAAACTAACCGTTTCTCCTTCTGTTTTTCACAGGCCAACCAAACCCTAGAATTTTACTCCTGCACTTCTGAAGAGATTGATCATGAAGATATCACAAAAGATAAAACCAACACAGTGTGGGCCTGTTTACCACTAGAATTAACCAAGGTATAGAATTTTCCTCCCAAGGCATGTAATACAATTAAGAGCTGTGCATCAAAACCTCAATTGCTTCTAAAAATTTGCATTTTTCTGGTGTCCATCATTATGGGACTTTAACAGGTCCTACTTCAGAAGTTAGATTTTAGGGAAAAAATTATAAAAATAGAGATTTTTTTCACAAAAATGTGAATATAGTTAATACCATTATGATGGTAAATTTTCTGTTTTTGCCTTAATAAAAAAATATACCTGAGATGGAAGGTCAGAGAGATTTATATTAAGAATTAATCTTTGATATATGATTTCTTTTCCTTCTAGAATGAGAGTTGCCTGGCTTCCAGAGAGACCTCTTTCATAAGTGTAAGTCAGAGTCAGAAAGTGAAAGCTTTCAGCCCATAGGATGAATTCATATCATTGATGTCTGATTTAATTTTTTCTTCTAGAGTGGGAGTTCCCTGACCTCCAGAGAGCCCTCTTTCATGAAGGTAAGACACACAATTCTTAAATGCAATGGGGGTGGGGAATGTTTTTAGCCCATCTCCATGGTTCCTTCCCCATTCTGTCTTGTCACTCAGACCCAGTGCCTTAGCAGTATCTATGAGGACTTGAAGATGTACCAGGTGGAGTTCAAGGCCATGAATGCAAAGCTTTTGATGGATCCTAAGAGGCAGATCTCTCTAGATCAAAACATGCTGGCAGTTATTGATGACCTCATGCAGGTAAGGCCCCATCCTATAAGTAGGAGAGCGCCTTCTTTATGCTGAAGATAGCCAGGCAGGGTCCTTGAGGAAGAAGTATAAAATCAGCCCTTTCTGGATTGGGAGAGGCCTGGAATCCCCTTTTGAAGGCCCTTCAGAGCTATATTTCTGGGGAGACAACCTTAAGGGCACCTTCTCAAGGGAGGGCACGTGCAAGCAGATCACATTTTAAAAAGCAGCCTCCTATTTGTTGACCCCCCGGGGTTGCTCCAGGCTCTGTGCAGATGTTTCCATGCATTTTCTTATGTCGTTCCCCACAACAACCATATGCGGTCTGTACAGAGAAGGAAACCAAGCCTTAAGAGAGTTAAACCACTTGTCTGAGGTCACACTGCTTAAAAGAGGCAGAGTCAGGATTTGAAGTTCCTTCGAGAGAATTGCACTACACTTCTCACCTCTAAAGGCTCCAGGATGTGTGTACAAGGCACCAGAGTGCGTTTCCACAAACATTGCCGGGAAAACAAGCAGGGTTGGTGCCTGATGTTGACCCACCGTGAACAAAAATGTGAACGAAATAGAAGAATAGCCTGTTATCTGGAGACATCCACAATGTTACGTACAGGCAAAAACTTGCTTTGTAATATTTGGAATCACCATAGTACACAATGCTAACACAAAACATAGAAATATTTACAAAAGAAAGGGTGATTAGGGCCTAGGATAAAACTAGGCTGACAGAAATCATTTCCTGAAAAGTAACTGGTTTACTTTTATTTTATTATTTTCTTTTCTTGTGTGTGTATGCACACCAAATTACTTGTTTAAAAGGCAGTGAACTTAAGGAAAGTATCTGAGAATGTTACCATCCAGAGAATTGTAGTTGTTATTCCATTTTCAGGTGGGTGACTTGGGGACTGGAATCAATTCTACCAGTGTCCATACAACGATGCCCGAGTCACTTAACCCCTCTGCACCTCAGTTTGCTTCTGTAAAATGAGACATCTTTACCGACCCTATTTTATTTTAGGCTTTTTGTGAAGAACATGTGAAAGTATTGATTACTGAGCAAACATGAAGACTTGTGTTATCAAATCAAAGGCTTAAAATTGGGAAATCCATTGCCAGATTTACTTACTGACACGAGCAGCGTGTCTTTAGTAAACAGGTCTGATACTGATAGAATTCTGATCAGTGGCAGCTCATCATCTCTCTGTCCTAAATAGAACTGGGCTTTTTAAGGTAACATATATAAAAATTAATTAGATATTGCAGCAAATATCATCTTAAAGGAACTGTATCTTTCCAAAATGCATCTGACGACGTTCTGACCCTTAGCTTTAAGGGCCTTTTAAGAGCCCACTGGAAATACGTATGCTTGGATAATGAGAATTTCTTCTCTCAGGTTCTGCCCAGCCATCCGGCCACGAGTATATTTGGGTTGAATTTAGGAGTATAATGAGGGACTGAGTTGCAGGTTTTGAGACATATATTGATTTCACCCGTCTTTAGAGATGAATGTTTTAATTTTGGAATACCGTACATGACATGCTTAATATTCATTGTCTTAGGCCCTGAATTTCAACAATGAGACTGTGCCACAAAACTCCTCCCTTGAAGAACTGGATTTTTATAAAACTAAAATGAAGCTCTGCATACTTCTTCATGCTTTTAGAATTCGTGTGGTGACTATAGATAGAGTGATGAGCTATCTGAATTCTTCCTAAAAGCCTGAGGTCCTTCTGAATTTTAAAGTCATTTTGATAAAAATTTGAAATGCAGAAATTCCAATAAGATGTAGGTTAAGAGCTGGGGGTGGGGGGAGGCTTGACCTGGTCCTACTTCAGCTCATACAGGAGTTCTCATGCTTATGTTTACATTAGTTGCATCACACAAAACTTGAAGGACAGGACTGTTACATCTGCACGATTCCTTTGACCGAGTGTCTTTGCCATTTACTATGGATAAGTTGTTTTTAAGATTTTATGAGCAAATTGCTAAGGAGGGAAAGTATCCTCTCTGAATATGCTTTTCTTTCCCTTTAAGAGAAGGACAAGAATTTATAAGCTATTTCTGTACCAAAGTGTTTGTAGAAACAAATGTGCAAAGATAACTTATTTTTAAATATTTATTTATATAATTTTGTGTTCATGAAAGCATGTGAACTTATATTTATTTATATTATATTTATTAAATTATTTCTTATCATGTATTTGAAAAACACTTTTTAAATGTTCTAAAAATAAAATGATTGCGTTAAAATGATTCTCATATTTGCCTAATGTCATTGGAATACTCTAAGGGTTAAAATATGCATTGCAGAAAAACGGAAAACTCTGATAAAATTCCAACAAAATTACCCTAGAAAGAATGCCACAATATTCTTATCCATTTCTTAGTTCCCTTAATCTAATTTTTAAAGGGAGCCTAGTAAGATGAGATTTGCTTTATTTTTATTACTCAGGCAAATGAGTGAGTTATGGTTTTTGAGAGTTTATTATTTTTGTTCATCATCTGAGTCCAAAAGTAAACTGTATATTGGACAAATACGTCATAATATTCTTCAGCTGGGAAAATGCCACTAAGATAACTTCTACTTATTCTAATTTTTGTAGCTCTTTGGGCTCTGAAGGGGAAGTTGTTTCTAAATTAAAACCAGAAAAGCTCTCTATGTGTCTAAACTTATATAGACCACATGGATAATTGCCTTGCTCTGGCTTAAGAGATGTGCTCTTAATGAGCTAAATGTTAAATTTCATCTTGTTCATTCTGTAAACCATGTGAATTTTAAAAGATGTATGACTTAGTATATTTTGTGCTATCACACAATATCTGAGACTGGATAAGGATTTATTTATAAAGAATAAGGATTTATTTCTTACTGCTCTGGAAGCTGGGAAGTCCAAGATTGAGGGGCCAGTATCTGGTGAGGGCCTTCCTGCTGTGTCATCCCAGGGCAGAAGGGCAAGAGAGAGCAAGACAGGGCTGAACACACTCCCACGACAAAGGCATTAGCCCATTCATGAGGGCAGAGTCCTCATGGCCTAATTACCTCTTAAAGTTCTCATGTCCTGATACTGTTCCAATGACAATTGAATTTCAGGGTGAGTTTGGGAAGGAACAAACCATATTCAAACCATGGCAATTCACCTGACAGAACACAGTATAATTTTAGTGCTTTGATAATCCGATTGCTCCTTAAGGTATAAAAAAGGAAATATTTAGAGTGACTATCTTTCCTCAGCTGCCCCCCCCACCACATGTGAATCCTTAACTCTGTGAAGTGGGAGGGGAATGTGTGTGGCTTTTCCTGGTCCTCCTCCGTATGGCAGACTTCCCCATTTTTCAGATTCTCACCCCACCATATATTCAAATAGACACAAATCATCAGAATCCAGATCTCATCACTCATCTCCTTTTCTTGAGTGAGTTCTCCGCAAGGTTGAAGGATCTGCAAGTGCTTTACAGACAGGTTTCTTTCCTTTCAAGTCTCAAGATTAGGGTTTCATCAGCTCTGATTGTGAAGAGCGTCTAATGGGCTTGTAGAGTTGCTGCCACTCCTCACTTGGGATGCTGATGGCTGGTCGTCTGGGCCTGGAATTAAGGAGGGGCAAGCAGGCAAGCAGTCCTCCAGGGACTGGGATTCTATAGAAGAACATGGGTGTTACTTTGGTCCTACAAACTGCCACGAGATATGCTTTAAAAACATGACTGGCCCAAGAAACGTCTTCACAACTAATTACATTCTTTATTACATGGTCAGTTTTCTACTTTTTTTTTCTCCTTTAAGCCTGGTTCTGCAACTTACATGTAGCATGACCAAATTGTTTCACCAGTCCCCATCTGTTTCCTCGTCTAAGAAAGGAAGATAATACTAGAACCTACCTCAATGGATCAGAGCGAGAGTGAAATGGAACACACTAAGTGCTAGCCTTGTGCCAGGCACATAGTAAGTGCACAATAAATGTTAGCAACTTTTCAAAATTATTGATAGTCTTTGTGATTGGCAACTTCGCAAAACTGGAATTCAGAAAACTAGAGCCTAATTCAGTGTTATTGTGAAGATTCTATGGCACAGTATGGTGCTGGAATCTAGTTGGTGCTCCATGTCAATTTGTCAAAACTCCTAAAATTGCTTCCACACCTCACCAACGCCCTGTCCGCCACAGCACTCAGCACACTGTGCATGTCCAGCACAGCAGCTGCCTGGTGCAGGCACGAGGACAAAAAGGCAGGGTCCCGGCCTTCCAAGAGCTAAGAGGAGGGAGCAAAGTAACTTAGTAAGAACGAATTCCCCCAAAACTACTCCCAGTCATAGCCAATTGGAGATTCATTTGATTAACAAAGTATTAAGAAGAAACCAAACCTTAAAACTGTTTCTCACACTTGAGAACGACTGAATCAGAGATCAATGGGGAAAGCATTTAGCTGTGAGCTGCCCCACTGAGGGTCCAGAGCTTCGGGCGGGAGAAAGGACAGGTTTGGGAAATGGTTGGGGCAGACATCCAAAGGGGAGTACTGGAAACTCCAAAGAGATGTAAAACACTCTGACACACAATGGAAGAAGGAAAACACAGGGACAAGTGGGACGAACAGAAGCTTTGTGGGGGTCCAGCATTGACAGGCATCTTGAGTCCTCTCCTCTGCGTCACCCTGGGCCATTCGGGTGTTCTCCTTGTTCAAGGACTAAACATTTGTTTCCACCTCGCATAGTTTTGGCTATTATATTTTAAGGCAAACTGCATTACAGTATGTGAAATAAGAAAAAAATCCACTCACATTTTCTAAAAATTGAATTCTGTGTACTTGAAATGGTTTATAATAAAAAAAATGAAATGTGTATCAGCTTTTTCATTGAAATGTTTTTGGTGAGGACAAGCATACAAACTAATTATATTTATGTATCTTTAAATTTGATATTAAAATATGTGTGTGATTTATGACACCAATGTAATATCAAATATAATCATGGAACCTGTTTTAGAAAAAATAGTAGCTAATGCTTGCTGTGTGCTTCACTAAACACCAGGCATGTTAATAGGTATTTACCACAAATACATATAATCCTCCTAAAAACCCTTTTTATAGACGAGGAATCTGAAGCAGAAGATCACGTCAGGTGACATGATTTAAACATGTGCATCCTGGCGGCCTGACCCCAGCCTGTGCAGGCAAGCATAGTATCCTTCTGACTTTCATATTAAAGTCACAATAAGTCAAGAGCACACTTTCACCATAGCCATACAACTATCACAATTATTTATATATACATCTCCTCTCCCCCTCACTACATTGTGAGAACCTCAAGTGTAGAAAGGTCAAATTACATATGTATTTGTTTCCTAGCCCCTGGCACTCAAAGTGATAAGAGAAAGGGAAATCTTCATGGGCTTTCACATGCTTCTCATTTCTTATTCTAATATAGAAATAAAGTCTTTAGTCTTCGAAATGTATTCCCAATAACATAAAAAAGTTAAAAAATAAAAGATACATATGCTTACCTAGTTCAAAATAATTATATAGGTCATAATGGGTGGGGAGAATCCAAAATTCATGAGCATTTTGATTTAGTTAAAATAATTTAAATATCTATGGTTTAGGACTATGTGGTTACTATCCTTCAAAAACAGCATGCCAACAAATCATACCACAGCAGTGAATTGGAAAGTATTAATACTTTACTTGTTATGTTGCAGATGTCTCAGAAACACACTCCTAGACCGCAGCTTCAAGAGACCCAAGCAATCATCCGTCTGCTGGTTTCTAAGAGGCCCTGCCAGGAGCAGGTCAGGGCCCAGCAGGGTCCTCAATACCCCCTGAGAAGCACTTTCCCCTCAGTGACCCCCACAGGAACAGCTCCACTTTTCAGTGCTTTAAGAATGCTGGTTTCAGGTAAGATTTCTCTCCATGGCTCAGGAAAAATTTAAAACTCACTGAACTACTCCAAGTACTTTCCTATAATTGTTTTGATAAGCAACAGAATGATCTTTTAGTTTTCCAAGCTTGATCGAAAAGAAAATACTACCATAAATTCTTAGAGCATCTTCCCTTCTGGAAATAAAAATCATGCCAGGGGTTACAACAAACAATAATGGATTTCTGTAACATAAAAGTGACTGACTAACCTGAGGATTCCTACCAAGGAATTTATATCAGGATTGGAATAAGTTAGATCTAAATCCACAGTGGGCTCCAGGGTGGACTTGGAGGTCCCAGCTAAGCAGCAGGGGAACCTTGGAACTCAGAGCCCAGAACTCAACCCCAGAGCCTGAATGTTAGCATCAGCACTTGCAGAGCCATCATCAGTAGTTCTCATACCCTGGGCACGTGGGAAGAGAGGCCTGCAACTGTCTTCTGAAAAACCAGGACCCCAGCAGTGAATCCTGTTACCCAGCCAGGATGAAGCCCTTCAGCAGGCAGTGTGCAGCTTCACCCGGGGGAGGACTTCCAGAAAATGGGAAATGGGTTAGGCCAACTGTTGGAAACCACCATTGTCATGGGAACACATCTGAAAAACTGTGATGGGCTCTTTAGAGAATGGAGTGAAATGTACTTCCACATAAAAAAGCAGAGGAAGAAACTTTTCCCCTAAAGCAATACAACAAAATTACCTAATGAGCCCTGTGATGTACAGAAAAATCCTGAAGAGAGAGATGCACAGGTGAGGGACTCACATGAATCCACCTGTTTTAAATAAAAACACACCTTCCCACCCCCGGAGGGGAGGAAAGGGTAATCCTTCCTGTGGTGAAAGGCCTAGGAGGACATGCATGTTGTCCTAAACCTGTGCAAGCACCTGGTGAACTAGTTTACCCCGGTTTATAGTCACTCAGCCTTAATCCAAGAACCAGAGGGCTGAGATCAAAACCAGCTGTTACCCAGAGACCCAAGGGGACAACAATCAAGTAACAGGATGCTTTACAAAATAACGTGCAAGTGAATATGAACACAGAGAAGACACACGAGCACTGTGACAGGCAGGTTTATTTTTCTTCCCTTCATCCATAATTTATGGTTCCTTCAAATAGATCAAACAAAACATATCCAAATTGTTAATCACCACTGGCATGATGCTGGGATCATAACAATATTTACAAGGACACCACAATACATTTCACCAACGAACAAGAGCCAATGTGGCCCATTATTCCCTGTGGCAACGCTTCCTTAAGAAGAAAAGGAAGTTTTTCCTTGGTTCTGCTAAAGCCATTTCTGAGCCTTAGTAGCATCCTCACCCCACCCCCTCCAGGAAAGTAAATGATGCCAGGGTGAAAGTCAAGAAAGTAGTGTTTGGCCAGTTGAACTTCTCCATTGAGGTGAGACACGTTTGAGCCTGCACGCCATCACTGCATGGTGGGAGAGAATTACATTCCTTTCCAATCTTGAGGCCTCTGTATCCGAGCAGTGGAGGGCAGGAACCTCACTAGCCCTCCTGGAAGAGCAGCCCCAGGGAGTTCAGAAAGCTCCCCCACCACGCCTGAGAAGCACCCAGAGAGATCAGGACACGTTCACTTTTGATATGACCTTTTGCAATAATTATGTTCGTTTGAATGCTTTAAAGAATACAAAGTCTAAATAAAATTTTAAATAAAAACCTCTGTGAATTACTGAGCATTCTGGGAAGGAGCACTACATTTGTTAAACTGTGCTGACAATATATAATTAAGGTTTGAATTGGTTATAACAATTTGCTAAAGGGCAGTGGGACAACAACAATAACAACAAAAAGTGCTTAAAAACAAAGGCAGGCACCCTGTGGTTTTCTGGTTGGAGACCAGAAAGGCTCCTCTGGCCAGCCCTGGGCTCTGCTTTCTCCCTTCCTCTCTTCGCCGCTTTGGCTGCACTGGCGCCACCCAGTGGCTTCCAGGAACACTGCTTCAGCACAGGGAAGGCCTGGAAGGCTCCGTGCTGCCAGTGTTGACTCCAGTTCCAGAAAGATGTCATCTGCCTCTCCTGAGCCTTCCTACCCGCCTGCGTGTTGACATGCATCATCTCCTTTCGTTCTCATTACAGCCCGGACCTAGGGGTTTTGCATCCATTTCTCCGATGTGAACAGAGGCTTAAAGTTAGATTGAGAATTTGCTTACATTCACCAAGGTGGCTAGCACTTCAGCGGGGATTTGAACTCTGACTCCGCTGCCCCTTACCTACTGCTGAATTTGCATAACTCTCTGAAGTCAAGCTTATAACCAAGCAAAGCTTTCCATAGTGGAAATTTGGTATTCCCAACCACACAGCTTGATTCCAAGTGAGTGTCTAATTACGGTATTTCCAGCTCACTTTCTAGCACATCCTAGATGTCAATAGAGGACTTCTTTCAAGCAGTTGTACGCATTCCAGGCTGTGGCATCGTTCTGATCCTTTTATCGCCACTTCAGCATCCTGAACTCGCAAATGGTAACATCTTCTGTCCTCTCCCAGATATCATCAATATCAGGCAATGGTAATGCCTGATATTTATCCACTTTTCCCCAGCTTCCCAGCAAGGTAGTCAACAGTGTATCTGTTAGGAGGATTTTAGTTTTCACTCCATCTAAAAGCAGTTAAGAGATTCAGTAGCTCCTCTAAACACTTCAATCATTTATGGCCATTTACAATGAAAATATGCTCTCCTCATTAAGAAAAAAAGTATACCATGATTTGTCACTTTAAGCACTTCTATTTTTTTTCTGCCCCCTCCTCCGACTAGCACTTTTAAAATATACTTAAGTGCCCCCCCAAAAATCACTGCTTTCCAAACTATCTTAAGTACTGAAGGATACTATTTTATATATTACACTGTTAGAGTATAATGTTCAACAGAGATAATACAGATGACTTTTTTAAAAGGCAACACAAATTAGGTCAGAATAAAAAAAATCAGAAACCAAAAATACTTGATGTGGTACAAAAAGAAAATACACAGCTTCCTCCTGGCCAGCTGTCTTTATCTAAATGTTAGCACCACACACACAAACTGCCTTAGTGGCCACTAAGAACAATAGCAAGAGATCTGAATTCTAATCTCTATTATGCTATTTCCTGGCACTTGGAGGAAAAGCCCATTCCACAGAGAAGTCATAGGATGGTAGTTTCTCTTCTGTATCTGATTAGTAGTATCTGTTCATCTCTTAGAAAATGTCATACACTTGGACGATGTGATATTATAAAATCTGTATTTGATCTTCCTCATCTTTTTTCCAGCATACAGCTACAGAAATCCTCGGACTCTCATCAGTGGCAGCAGACTATTATATGCTGATGAGATGACTGGTGGCACAGAGATAGCTTCAGGATGGGAGTAGGACACAGGAAGAACCAAAGCAAGATCAGAGGGTTAGAACTTTCAGCCCCACTCTCCAACATCCAGGAAGGGGAGAGGGGCTGAAAGTTGAGTTGATTAACTTTGGCAAATTATGTAACTAATCTTGCCTTAAGTTTCCCTTAAAAACTCAGAAGGACTGGATTGAAAAAAGGTTACAGGTTGGCAAAAAAGTGTGTCCACTTCTATGTCCAGGACCCTTGATCCAGCTATTCTGGTACTGCACCTTTCATTAATAAACCAGTGAATGTAAGTGAAGTGTTTCCCAAAGTTCTGTGAGCCACTCTAGCAAATGAATTGAACCCCGAAATAGAGGATTGGGAAACCTGATTTATAGCTGGTGGGTCGGAAGTCCAGGAGGTTTGGACCTGAAACTGGGATCTGAAGTAGAAGCAATCTAGTGAGACTGAGACCTCACCCTGTGGGATCTGGCCCAGTCTCCAGGTAGTGTCAAAACCGAATTAAACTAGAGGACACCCAGCTAGTGTCCGCTAAAAAAAAAAAAAAAAAATTTTTTTTTCACTGAAAACTTTATTGCTTGTTTGGCGTATAGGAAAACCCTCCTCCCAACCATGTTTGATCACAAAAGTATTTTGTGTTGATTGCTGAATGAGTAGAAAAGAATGCTTTGGTTGATTTTTCCTTTCTTTCTACTGTATCACATTAAAGAGCATGCATGTCTGCCAAGGCAAACCATTGACCCCACACAAATATTAGCCCGCTAATTTATCTAGTTTTCCTGCCTTCACCTTTTTTAGCTGGTTGTACTATGGAGCAGCGCAGCTCACTGGTTGCAGAGTTTATGTTAAAGATCCTCTGTCCTGACAAGGTTCTTACAAGAAAAAAGAAACTAAAAAAGTTAACAATCGTCCAGGCATTGCAAATGCTGGACATGACACTAGAAGGAGGACAGAAGCGCTAGAAGTACTTCTCACCCTTCCTCTAAGACCCCAACACCTAAGCTCATCTGCAGCCAACAACTTATTAATATGCATCTAATATGTGTACTTGGAGCCTTCCCCATTTCACAGGTTCCCTCTCTGCCAACTTTCTAGATTGAAGAATGGGCTCAAAGGGGTGGCTTGCACCACCTAGTGGTTTCCAGATGCATGGCAGCTTGCTCCTAGCTCTCAAAACTGTCCCAATGAAAGCTGCATAGGGAGCCATAAAAAACTCTAGTTCTCAGGAGCATCTCAAAATCTATTGTATCAGATTCTGAACCTAAGTTTTAAGCAATATCCCCAAGTGACTCTGTTGAATCCTGGCCATTTTTTAAAAAGCACCACAGTAATACTAATACTGAATCTGAAACTACCTGGAGAATGAGACTCAATATCTCAAAGAACATTGTAAAAATACCCAGACAAAAGTAAATTTTTATTGATTTGTTGATTTGGATACTATGTTGTCATCTGCAGAAAGGTTAGAAATCCTTAATCTTTCTGAGCCAGGTGTGTCTCCAGGAAGACTGACCCAGCAGCATGGGTGTCAGATGGCCATCCATGGGGGAGGACCCGCGGGAATCAGGATTCTGAAGATGGAAGAACAGAAGAGTGTGCTGAGACTCATTCGGTGTCCAGTTAGCACTGTGCTGCTTTCGGAAATGGTTTATATCTGGTTATACAGGTCCAGACACCTGTCAGAGCACAAGAAAGATCAATTAGAAAAAGTGGTATGAAATTTGAATTAAAGAAATCAATTTGGGAGAACATGCAAAGCGTCTTGGCGATCTCTCTAAAGCTCAAATAAGAATTTGAGGCTTTAACCTGCCTTCCCAACTTGTGTTCCAGCCAAATTGTTTCCCAAGATTAAGTTACATGCCTACCACTGTCATGATTTTTCCTATGCCCATATGTCAGGTGAAATGTGACTTCCTTGATATTTCCTTAATTGGTAACTACTAAAAATAAAATACTGGTGTGACTTGCCATATGGAGAAAGAAGTCATAAGCGCTTTATTTTAAATATATTGATAGGAATTCCACCTAAAACAATCTCCTATAATATCATTCTGTACACATTGGAAAACACAGTTCTTTCTGGACATGTCATTCTGAGTAACACCACCTTCTCTGTTTGAAATTTGGCTGCTTTCTAATAGGTGCCTTTGTCTCCCACAGCGAAGGTCCCTTTAGCAAAGATTCCTTAATGATGATGTATGATCTCAGGTAGCCAAAAAAGATGTATGTTATTAATGAAGATTCTAAAAAATTAGAGATCTTATAAAGTGATTTTTTTAAACAATCAAGAAACTTAGTCTAGAAGGACACTAACTATTCTGGTTGTTACAGGCTAAGTATCTCTTATTACCATGGCATTTGAGGTGATGAAAAAGTATTATAACATCTTGCAGGTTCATTTATTTAACCTACCAGTGAATACAAATAAAAACAACACAACCCCAACATACAGAGTCCAAACATGGATTCTTTAGCTTGGATAAATAGGCCTGTTTTAAACTGGCTACCTCAATGGCATACTATTTAGAGTAAGAGCCAATTACATTTATAGAAAAGGCTCAAGCTTAAACTGGGACTGAAAATTACAAAAACTAGTGACATTCCAAAACAGTTTCATTTCAAGAGATGAACACATGAGAGAAAACACAGACTTGAACAAATCTGTACCTTGGAAAGACAGGCATCTCTGTATGACTGACATATAGCGCTTGTTCTGTGTCAATATTCGTGTGGTTACCAAATTCATCTGTTTACATATAGGTACTAAATACAAAGAAACAAGTTGAAAAAGGATTAAAAAATTAATTAAATGATAAACAGATGTACAGAATACTTAACAGGTCCCTGATATCAATACATTCAGGCAGCAAAATAAAAATACTAAAGGATAAAAGAAATAAATTTTTTTCTAGAGATTGGGCTACAACTCCTTTAATGGCCACCTACTTTACAATATCACTAAAAGGCAATACAAATGATTAAAATCAACACTGAATTGTGTATGATCCTGAGAGAGAGGTGAAAGGTCCCAATCACAAATGCCAAGCACGCACAAATAATCTCTATTGCAAACTTGTGGCACTGGAAGGAGAGACCTCTCTGCCATTTGTAGACAAAGTCACGGTAGCCCTGAGCTCCCCCAGCCAGCTAATTCGAGGGCTAGAAGTAGACCCACGTGACCTGACTTTAAACACACTGCTTGTGCCTTCCTTTAGGCTCTAAAATCTGTTCACCATGCACATGTCTGTTCTAAAAACATCCTTCAAAGAGAATCCGACATCAACCTCAGAACTGCTG